TTTATTCTAGTAATATCATATTTTGTTAATATATAGTTAAAATAATACAATATACTTGGATGTTATAAATGTTAAATGTTATAAAGATAATTAACAATCAAATATTATATTTCCTAGTCGATATAATGCAAGAATTCTTCAAGGAGAGTATTCGGTATTTATATCCTACCGGTAATTATAATTTTATACTATTCTATAATTACTTACATATTATATTATAACTTTATAACTCCCTAGCAATTATTGTATACCATTACTAGACAATTGTTAAAAAATGAAGAGTCGATAGGTGTATTTGATTGTCTAGCCATTAGTCATCAAATCACATAGGTATTCGATCCGACAAAAGTTTATGATTTGTGATAATTATAAGTGATATGAATTGGAGATGAGGCTTGGCGCTTTGACGGGAATGTTAAAAGTTTGAGCATCTGTCTAGCAATCCGTCACGAACGTTGTAAATTTATATGCTGGATACGATTTCCAGGATCACCTATATAGAGTATACCACATAGAGTGGTATGTGCAGTAGCATGTCCGGTGCATTTTCTTATGTAAAAAATGTTAAGTCGAAAACCAAGTTGGAGTGTCTAGCAATTCAGTCATCTCAAGTCAAAATTGATTAACTTTCAAGTTAGGTTTCTAGAGAGGCAATCTGACTTCATTGGATCGCGGACAATGTGTACACTATACGGCAAATCAGGTAGGCAATCCACCGCAGACCTGACGTCAAGCAGCTATAAGTGAAGAGTAAAATTAGTATTTTCCAAAAACCCAATCACACAAAATTCGAAATAATTTACGAAAAATAAAACAAATATAATATCAATTTATCGTATGTGAACGACAACAATTATTATAGGTCGTGGGCCCGGTCACTGTTTACTTCGCGCGCTGTACCACACACTGACCGACCTGTATATTTGTGTGTATAAATGTATAGCAATTAACAGGAAATGGACAGGGGCACCGAGCGAGCCCTGTAAGTGCTAGTGTGTGGTGGGTGTGTAAGTATTTCTATGTATGTAATAAAAATATAAAAGATTGTAATTGATATAGAAAAACAAGATATAGCAAATTAATCACATCCACAAGAACAAGTTATAAAATTGCGGCCCTTTGACCCAACAGAATAAAATAATATAGACAGCTATCTGAGCTGTAAGTCGTAAGGTATATATAATAAATAATAATAATTTACAACTTACAAATTGTGGAGCGCAGACTAGCCAGCTGGTCCTGTGCCGGTCGGTGGTGGAGTGGTGAATAATAATATGATATAATATAACAATAACATATTTTCTCTAATAAGTGTAAATTCCTAATAATTTAAATAACATATAGGGTTAAGTTTACTATTTATATGAAAAATAACGTCGGTTAAAAAAAAAATCGGGTTTCGGGCGGTCTTGTAAACCATACGGCCCAGACGGTATAGCCAAACGGAGATCTTAAGACGGGTTTGAACTAGGACCTAACCTAACCTAACCACATTTTTTTTTTTGTGTGTGTGTGTGAATCACGGCGTTACAGGGAGGTACTACACCCGTGAGGGCCGTCCTTCTCCCTGCATCTGTATTATTTATTGACAAACAAATAATATACAATAGCAATGAAAATTATGAGCTTTGCTCTACAAAAAAGAGACGACTCTATTCCTCTAAATTTCGGCTTCAGCGCACAAATTATGCACTTAACTACTTTAAATTCGGAGTCGCTGTCGCACACTTTCTTCATGTTAACTTGTGGACTGCACGAGGTTGACAAAGCTGCTGACTGCGTCCCAGTTACTCCGTTTCTTCAACATGTTGCGAACAATGTTGTCTGGGGACAAGTCCTCTTCCAGCTCCACCTCTAGCTCTCGCCATTGTTTCCACCATCTGCCGCAAACGAAAAAGACGTGTTCTGCGTTGTCGACTGGTTTCTGACAATCAACACAAGTTGCTGCATCCAATTTCCCGATCCTGTGGAGGTATTCTCCGAAACATCCGTGATTGGACAATAACTGGGTCATGTGGAAATCTGCAGATCCATGATTCCTGCCCCTCCAGGAGTTAATATCTTGGATCAACCTCCTTGTCCATCTTGAATTGCTTTCATTGGCCCATTTCGCCTGCCATTTCCTCATTGTTTCAGCGCGGATCTCCAATTTAGTCCTTGCTGATTCTGGCTCATGCCTCCGTTTGTACCTCTCACACCTCTCCCAGGATAGAAGGTGAGCCGGTATCATTCCTGCGATCACCAGCACCGCTGCAGTCGATACAGTTCTGTATGCCATTATGGTCCGTATAGCGATGGTCTTCTGGGGTCTATCTAACGTTACGACGTTGCGATTAAACGCCATCGCTGCACCCCATATTGGCGCCGCATACAATAACTTGCTTGTCACTACCGTTGCCAGGAGAGATCTCTTATTCTGTCTCGGGCCTCCGATGTTGGGCATAAGTCTGGATAGGGCAGTTGACGTGGTCTGTGCCCTGGCCGCCGCCGATTCCACATGCGCCCTAAAGCCGAGAACCCTTTGGAGTTCAACTCCTAGGTAACTAATACGTTCTTTGAATTCAATGTGGCTGCCTAAGATTGAAAAGTTCGGCCGGCGGTATCCCCTCTTCGTCGTCAGAATGACTCCCTCGGTCTTCCTCACCGACAGAGATAGACCAGCACCAATCATCCACTCGGCAACTTTATTCAGAGCCTGGTTTGTTACGGTCTCTACTATCCATGTTGTGTTTCCAGTTGCCACGACCGCCACGTCGTCTGCTAAGGCCACCAGTTCAGTGGACGACATTCCGCGCGCATTCCTCCACATTCCTCCTGTGTCCACTTGGAGGAGCTCATCATACATAATGTTCCACAAGGGAGGCCCAAGCACGGAACCTTGTGGGACTCCGCACGTGGTAGGTGTTGAGTTCCCTCCGTGTACCACCGTCCGATCACTTTGGTAACTCTCGATTATTCCGACAAGATAGGGGTTAGCCTAACCCCTAACTTAACCTTTATCCTTCATGGCTTTTACTATTCTCGGCCATCTCGCCGAATTAAAAGCGTTCACCACGTCCAACGCCACGACTGCACACAGCTTTCTATTATAGGGCTGTCCGGATCCAGCTGCCTCCACGATGTCCTACACACGTTTTATCGCGTCTACCGTCGACCGCCCCTTTCTGAACCCGTATTGACGGTCATCGAGGTCGCCGGCTTCCTCGAGCCACTTCTCAATACAGGTCTTGATCAGTCTTTCAAAAAATTTACCAACTGTGTTCAGCAGGCATATTGGTCTGTAGAACGAGGGGTCCTCGAGAGGTTTGTCCCCTTTCCTTAAAAGAACGAGCTTTGCTATCTTCCAAGAGTGCGGGAAGACGCTCTTCTTTAGGCACTTGCTAAAGATATCTCGCAGTATCTCGGGTTTGTGCCTAGCGACGTTTCTGATGATCAAGTCAGGTACACCATCAGGTCCCGGTGCCTTTCCTCGTGGGATCTTGTTGCTGAGGTCTGTTATTTCTGTGCTGGTCACCGCTGGGAAGTCGTG